TACACCACTCCCACGCCCCCCCCTCCCCTCCCTCTTCTCATATATCTACCCTCTCCATGGCTGTACAATACTAGCGCGCCGCCGGTGCATTGTATTAAGTGGCGCGGGGTAGCGTAGCAGAGAGAGTAAAAACATAAACTGACTTGAGCTTACTGAATGACGTGATGATACAAGAGGAGTGCAGAGGAGAGGAGAGGAGAGGAGAGGAGGAATGAGGTCTTCCAGCCACTGGTTCACTCCCCAAATGCTAATAGCCACAGCTGAGCCAAGTTCTGAACCAGGAGTGTAGAACTCCACCTGGGTCTCCCATGTGGGTGGCAGGGCCCCAAGCACTTGGAGCATCTTTCACTGCCTTCCAAGGCACATTAGCATGGAATTAGATTGGAAGCAGAGCACCCAGGACTTGAACTGTAGCTTCAGTGTGGGATACCATCATCTCAGGTGGTGGCTTAATCTGCACCACCAAGCCAGCCCCTTGTGTCTGATTTTGACAAACTTACTCTCCTGGATGGGATGCTGAGAGGCAGAGCCAACACAAAGCTGAGTAGGTAGCCCAGGGAAGTAGAGAAGGGAGGATTCTGGAAGTTGCTCAGTTGAGAGAAAGCAGAGCAGCGACCCAAGGTAGGGCTATGTGGGCGCTTCACTGGCCACAAAACTTCAGGGCCCTACTGCCCTGAAGGTATGCGGACACCTCCAGTTTTGTGCCCAGATCCAAGCTTGCCACCTCCTCCTCCCTTCTGTCCTCTCTTCCAACCCTTTTTGTTTCACTGGCTGGACTCTTATATGACCTCAAAACAGAGCCCAAAGGAATCCCTCCTTGCTACACAGAAAAGACCTCAGCAGCCCACTCCTTGTACAAGCATGTTTGTGTCCATCTTTCCTCCCACCTGCACACCCCAGGGTGAGTTGGCACCTCTCTGGGAAGTTTGTTAAAGGGCCTAAGGCCTAAGGAGCTGCAGATCAAGAGCAGCATGGAAATGCCTGACTGAGGCCCCACAGTGGGCTGCAGAGAAGCTGGGCAGAGAAGCCCAGATGCAGATCCAGGAGCTTTCAGGCAACTTTGCCAGAGTCCAGGTCTGCTTCTGCTGAGCTCTAAGCCAAGATGGCACTGAGAGAGAAAAGAGGAGGAATCTCCGCTTTCCCAGCTCCCCATTGCTGTCAGCACTTTGCAGGCTCATGTTGCAAACAGGCACTTCTTGGCAGCTTGCTGACTGTCCAGGAACTCTAGCAAAGGATTCCACCTTGTCTATTCTTCTCCCAGCAGGTGCAAGTTGCTAATCCAAGAACCCAGCAGCCTCCTACTGCAGAGGCTTCCCAGGCACCTGCCGCAGACCCAAGGTCCTCCCCTGCTGTGTATCAGCAGAAGCAGTACTTCCGTCCCAAGCCATGAACAGAAGACGGAGGTGGGGACAGACCAATGAGGTCTGCATGTCCAGGGGACCTACAGTGTGAACAGAGTCCCTTGGATTGGGTTTTGGGCGGGGTGGGCATTTACTTTTCTTTACTGACATACTTTGTTTGTTAAGCATAGCCTGTTTTTTTTTTTAATCATGATGCAGAAATAGCCTATAATCCCTCTGGCTGCACGTTCCAGCTGTGCATACACACGTACCACCATGGGCAGATAGGATACAGCACGTCTGTTCAAATTAGAATGCTTTTTCCCTGCCCCCCCAAAAAAACCACCAGAGTGGATTGCAATCTACTAAGAAGTTGTTTTAGCTGCAACAATTCTGAGATTCTGAGGCCTTGGCCTTTTGATCAAACCTGGTCTCTCTTCTCTAGTCCTGGAGAAACTCCCAGGGAATGGAATTCCGACTGTGGGTACACAAAATCTGCAACACAGGCACTCCTACAGGCACTAAAGTGATTACAGCCTTATTGCTTAATAAACATTTTCTTGCAATACAATGTTGCACGAATTTGTGATTTACTCCTTTATTTATGTCCTTTGCAAACAGATGCCTTCTCTTCCATCTGTAGCTGTCTTATATTCTCTAAAGGAAAAGGGATTGTGCTCCCTGGTCAGACACCAAGGAGAACTTCTTCCCATCTGTCTGCCTGATGTGTGCAGGGAGGGGCTTGGAAAGCCCTGTCAGGAGTCACTGTGTCCTTTTTTAAGGCAGTGACCAATCACTGGGAGAAATGAAGGGGAGACACTAGGCCTCACACAAGAGGTTTTGTCCCCAGAATTCCTATGTGGAAGCGCTAACCCTCAGTGTGATGGTGTAGACAACCCTTGGGATCTGCAGAGGGTTGGTTCCAGAACCCTTCCCTCAAGGATACCAAAATCCACATATGAAATAGAACTACAAACACCCTCCCATAGGCTTTAAAAAAGATTTATTCATCTGAGGGGCAGAGTTAGAGAGAGAGAGAGAGAGATAGATCGATCTTCCATCTACTGGTTCACTCCCCAAAAGATTGCAATGGCCAGAGCTGAGCTGACCCAAAGCCAGGAGGTTCTTTTGGGTCTCTCACATGGGTGCACGGGTTCAAGTACTTGGGCCATCTTCCGCTGTATTTTCAGGTACATTAGCAGGGAGCTGGATCGGAAACGGAGCAGCTGGGACTCCAAGCAGCGTCCATATGGGATGTTGGTGTCACAGGCGACAGCTTTACCCAATAAGCCACAGTGCCTGCCCCCTCCCATAGACTTTTAAATCGTTTCTAGATTACTTGTAACACCTAACACAAGGTAAACACCATGCCAATAGCTGTTACACTGTGTTGTGTAGGGAATAATGATAAAGACAAAATCTGTACATGTTTAGTACAGATGAAATATTTTCCCAAACTTTCATAACTGCTGTTTGTGGAGTCTATGGATACAGAACCCATGGATATAGCGATGACACTTACGGTAGATACTTAGGTTTAGATGGGGCCATGAGAGTGAGACTCTCATGATGGTATTAGTGCTCTTACAAGAACAAATAAAGACAGATTGTTCTGCACCCCCCACCCTTCTGTGTACATATGTGCATACGTGTGTGCTCACACACACACAATCAAGACAGGGGCCTCAGAATAAAACCTAGTACCTTGCTGGCAGCTGGGTCTCAGACTTCCCAGCCCCCAGAAGTGTGGAAAATAAATGTCTGCTGTTGAAGCCATCTAGTCTGTGACAGATCAAGCTGTTTAAAATATGGGGCTGGGGCCAGGGCCGGGGCCGGTACTGTGGCACAGCGGGTTAAAGCCCCAGCCTGCAGTGCCAGCATCCTATATAGGTGCCAGTTTGAGTCCCAGCTGCTCCACTTCCAATCCAGCTCTCTGCTATGGCCTGGGAAAGCAGTAGAAGATGGCCCAAGTCCTCGGGCCCCTGCACCAACGTGGGAGACCTGGAGGAAGTTCCGAGTTCCTGGTTTTGGATTGTCCCAGCTACTGCCATTGTGGCCTTTTGAGAAGTGAACAAGTATATGGAAGATCTCTCTCTCTCTCTCTGTCTTTCAAATAAACAAAGGAAATCCTTTTTAAAAAAGCAAAAAAAAACTATTTACAGTGTGGGACCATCTTCAGGTGTATACATTCGCAGCGACTGGGAAGGGGCAGCTGACATGGCAGTCAGTCATTGGAGTCACTCACCAGCTCAGGTGCATCCCCCACTGTGTTCAGCAGATGCAGAGCGTTCCCAAGAATCTGTTAGCATGGGGTCACCTAGCAGAGAGGGAAGCCATGTCAGGATTCTCGATTCCTTCTTTGACGTTAGATTCGCAGAGGTGGAGGTGGTTGTCATTCTTGGGTGTGGGCCGGGACTCCCTTGCTTCCTGTCTTGGCAGCTGCCTCTTTCAAGAGGCCAAACTCCAGCTCAGAGGTAGAAGCTGTAGCATTTTCTACCTCTTTCCTACAGGACTTCCCAGGGGCCATGTACGTCCTCACGCCAGAGGGTAAAGTGTGTGCAAAACCAAGCCATACCTATGAAAGTAAAGAGAAGGCAGTGCGAGGGACACTATTTGCCAGCAGGTGGAATGACACAGGCTCAGGGTTCACAAGCTACCAGGAGAGCTGCAGGATCCTTCTGCCTACTCGGCCAACCTAGGAGCGTTCTGAGCACGAGCGATGCCCCACTGCTAGTTCCCACAGTCAGAGGCCTTGGAAAAGCACTCAAAGTCTCTGGGCCTCAGCTTTTTCAGGTGGAGAAAAAAAAGCTCTTAGAGCCGCTCTGAGGGTACATTCGTGGAATGGTAGTGCTGAAGACATCAGGGAAAGACAGCGAAAGCTGATGAAGTTGGGAAGCATTTGGTTGGGGTTACTGTTTGAATTCATGGTTTGTCCGATTCAGTCCATTGATACCGAGTCCACCACCCACTGCAGTTCAGACAGGGATCCCTGCTGGGGCAGTGTTCATTCACCCTCTAGTCACCTGCTTAGCTCCTAGCTCAGTCCAGAGCAAAGTTGCCGAGGGGAGAGGGATGGGCTGCCCAGATCTGCTTGCTTATTTATTTATTTTTTTTTTCTGGGGATTCCTACGGGAGTAGTTCCAAGGATGACCCATCTTAGCACGAGAGGAAGTAAGAGTGGTTTCAGGGTCCAAAGGCTATAACGAGCGCTCCTGTGTGAGCTAGTCCAGTTGTTTCGTGATTTACTAAGGTCAGACTTGGAGAGACAGGGAGTTCCCTGCGGTCTCTTCAGCAGTTCCAGCGCCGAGTCTCTACGTTGAGCTACCCAGCAGCACCACGGCCTAGACCGTGACTTAGCAGATCAGTGGTTCTACCTGGAGTCTGCTGTGGGTGAATCTTTCTTGCTCATTGTCCCAGGCATGAAGCCTAATGCCCCCCAGCTCCAGAGAGCTGGGGAGAAAGCTGGCAGCTCTCAGGGAGGCAGTGACCAGGCCAAAGGATTTCTGCGTTGGCACTGATCAGTGAGGGCCTATATCAGCCTTGCTTGGGGCAGGAGAGAGGTCTGGGCACAGGTGGGTTGAGAAGACGCACCTGAAGCTTGTGGAGCTATTGCTTAAACTGGAAGGAGTGGTGACTGTGGCTGTGCTCTGTGTTGAACTACCCCAGAAGCCTCTGGGCACTACCTACTACAACGTTTCAACAGGGAAATCTGCAGATGGATGCTGCACCTGGCGCTACTCAGGGCAAAGATGTTTTTTTTCTCAGCCTCTCTTCCACCTCGCATGCTGCACGTGCACAGGGCACAACTGGGTAGAACAAGTCTACTCCATATTTACTCTCAGGCTCTGTAAGGTGTATCAGAGGGAGCAGAGGTAGATGAGTGGTTCCTTCAGCAGCCCAAGGCTGGGTACGCCCAAGGAAACAGACGTGGGGAGGGAGAAGCCAAAAGTGAAGACGGCTTCGCTCCCTGGGCTCCCACTCCCAGTGTCCCCAGTCTTAGCCACTTAGCCATCTGGGTGGCTCCAGAGTGGCTGCAGTACTCTGCCTCATGGCCTGAGCGCAGCGGCCTTCACACTAGCACATGGGAACAGGCAGCCTTTATGTCCCAAGCCAGGTGCCCTCACTCCATCTGCCCAGACCACACCTGTTTTCCCTTTGATGGGGAAGCAGAGAAACAGGGGTCCGAGCACTGCAGTCCAGTTGGCAGAGGTTCCTGCAGTAGGGGTGAATCCCTCTCTCTACTGAGCTACAAAAGCCTACAGGTGGGTTCCAGGAAGGGAGCCCCAGGCGCCGACTGTCCCCCACCCTCAGCATAGCCACCAGCAGCCTCAGGTAGTGCTGTACCTCTGTCTTGTACTTTTCGGTCCCCAGCACTGATGGCTGCAAGGTGTCTTTCAGCTGAAAATCACCCTCCTTGCCACTTCCTTGCAAGACTCGATAGTGGTTTGGTGTAGGTTGGTTTACCCCTTCGGCATGAAGCCAGATTCCTTTCACCTGTGTGGCAGAGTGCAAAGGGGCTAGGGGGCTGGGTGCAGAGGAGGGGTGTGTTGGAAGAACACAACAGGGGTGCCTCAGCTGCCACACGTGGCAGAGCTTCCAGGCACAGGCACAGTGCCACCCTGCACAGGGGCTCACTCCCAGGTGGACAGTGCAGCACTCTTTATTGAGCTAGAAGCAGTCTTCAAATAATGGAAGAGTCTACACACAGACTTAGAGGTGAATATTCATGTGGTCTCAGTGGCATCAAAAATTTATAAGTGTTCCTATTCCCAAGTGCATTTTAAAAGTTTTATTTATTATTTATTTGTAAGTCAGATTTACACACAGAGAGAAGGAGAGGCAGAGAGAGAGAGAGAGAGAGAGAGAGGTCTTCATCCACTAGTTCACTCCCCAGATGGCCGCAATGGCCAAAGCTGAGCGGATCCGATCCCAGGAGCCAGGTGCTTCTTCTGGGTCTCCCATATGGGTGCAGAGGCCCAAGGACTTGGTCCATCTTCTACTGCTTTCCCAGGCCACAGCAGAGAGCTGGATCGGAAGTAGAACAGCCAGATCTTGAACTGGCGCCCATATGGCATGCTGGCACTGCAGACGGTGGTTTTACCTGCTATGCCACAGTGCCAGCCCCTCCAAATGCATTTTATAATAAAGAAGGATGAGTGTTATTAAAACTACCAGCCCAAGCCCGTGTTCTTCTGCCACTCCATTCACAGCATACAGCACAGCAGATCTTGCAGAGTGAGCCTTCTCTTTACAAACGTTCCAAAGGGCATCCTTGTAACCTACACACTTAGCAGTCACCTTGAAACTTTCACAAACACAAGTAGCTTCCTGAGGCAGGATCAGCAAGTGGGAATTCAAACCGGACTCAGACAACCGTCCAGTGGTCAGGTGGTCCTTCAAGCCAAAAGGTAGCCCATTACGCAGTTCACAGTGCCCAGGACAGCCTCCCCCCTGCACTCACCTTCCCTTAGTGCAGGCAGAACTGTTCTTAAGCTTGTGCGCATCAGCTAGTCACCTTGCAGCCCTCTTCCACGAGGGGCTGTAGGAGCCACTGGATTGGTATGCAATGCA